CTTTAAACTTGTCGATGGTGCCGTCTGCTTTGGTTTTCACGCGGAAAACCCATTTCCCGATGAGGATTGTCTTGTTGCGTGCCACGCCGATGGGAACGATTTTCCAGGTATTGCGTTCTTCCAGCGCTTTTAACTCCTTGTCCATGGCCTCGCGCCATTTTTCCCTGTGCTCCCCCCCCAGAGCCTGCTGAACTGTGGCAGGCTCCTTAGGTGGCGCCGTGCCGTAGACTGCGGTGACGAGCCCGAGTATCTGGAGTCCACTCTGTGTGTAGCGGGGAAGATTTGCGTCCTCGGGATAAGCTGCTTCGTCTCCTGCTTCTGGATCAGGTAAGAAATTAGGTCCTATGCGTTCTGCGTCGTCGGTGTTGACTCGTGCGGGTGTAACGTAACCAGTGTCAGCGAAGTCGTAGAAGACTTCGGCGTTGACGCTTTCGCGAGGGTTGTCGTCATCCATTGGGATGTCCACTGAGCAGTAGGGGAGAGGTCCGGCGACCTCCGAAGCTCTGTCCACGTTCTGTTCATCCCAGTCAGCTTTATCTGCTGCCGAAGCGAAGGCTCGGTCCCCACGAAATCCGCCTGTGACATCCCGTAAGGTTTCCAAGTTGTACAGGTACGTTGGAAGAGTGAGGCATTCGTAGAAGAGGACATCACGTGCTGCCACTGTTTCCTTTGTGTTGATGTCGAAAATCTTCCATGCGTTGTAATGTTTTTCAATGCCCAGGTGTAGCCCCCATTGTGCGCGTTGGGAGGACAGGAAAATTGGGCAACACAAAAATGTTACGAGTGTTCGGCTGCATGGTACAGTACCGACCCCCAGCTGCACGTGCCGTTGGGCTCCTTAGCTGGTGCCGTTGAATGACCCGCGATTGGTATTGTCGCTGCTGTTGCCGATGTTGTCTCTGCTGCTGCCAATGTTGTCTCTACTGCTGTCGATGTTGTCTCTGCTGCTGCCGATGTTGTCTCTGGTGATGCCGATGTTGTCTCTGCTGCTGCCGATGTTGTCTCTGCTGCTTGTTGGATTGTTGCTAATGCTCGTGTTCGTTCTGCCTCAGGTACCGTGTTCGAGTACCAGAAGCCGCCGGGGCTGAAGTCGGGGTCGAGGTCTGGTGGATGTGTCCAGGGAGCGAATGTGACGATCCCATCGCTGTCGGCGGTGCCTTGATCTGGAACGAAGTCGAGGACGAAAACGTTATTCTTCAGCATTGCCTTGCCGATGTAGAGACCTCCCTTCCCGTGGTATAGTTTAAACTCCTGTGTGCTGCTGTCTGCTTCGAGGTGGATGCCTTTCGCCATCAACTGGCTGACGCTGAGTAAGTTGTAGCCGAGTCCCTCCGCGATTAAAACTTTTGACATTTGCAGTATGACATTGGTTTCTCTTGACTGAAGTTGAACGATGCCTTGTCGTCGTGTGCGCATGTTCTGATTGTTGGCGACGGTGATGACTACTTCGCGTTGAAGTTGGTGTTCCTTTTGAACGAAGCGACCCGAGGAGCACATGTGTTGTTCGCAGCAACTATCCAAGAACCAAGTGTCTTTCCCGGATGGCTCGCTCTGGGCGATGGCTGCGTATGTCGGGTTCGGCTCCAGTGACTCGCGGCGAGGAGTGCTTACATCGAGTTGTTCTTCCGGTGAGTAGTAAGGTGGTGATTCAGTGATGCAGGAGTCTGTCAGTCTCGCCATGCAGCTCACGATGTTTCTTGTCCCTTGTGCAGATTGTGTTGTTGACGTTGTCGAGGCTTGAACTTGAGGAGTAGGATGCGTTTGTGTTGAGGCGACTTGGCTGCTTGAAGGTCGAAGTTGTCGTTGTGGTGTCGTTGACTGCCTCAGACTTGGACAGTGTGTACGGGGGTGTCCGGACGTCTTGCAGAGGTGACAGAACGGTGGTACGTGCTGTTGCTGTTGTTGTTTATTCTGTCGGTTGGAGTTGTTGAAGCGCCGCTGGGTGTGTAATGCGAATTCGGGTACTGATGTTTTCTTCTTGTGCCGTTCCTCGTGCAGGTCCATGTCTTGTTGTTCGGCGTGTATTTCGGCGCAGAGTGCCGCTTCGGAGATCTTCCCGTGAGCTCGGAGAATAGCTCGAGTAGAACGCCAATGAGGACCAAGACCAGTGATGACAACTGTGACGAAGGCTTCTTCAGATATCGGTCCTCCGCATCGAAGGAGTTTGTCGCGCAACTCGCGGCAGCGGCTGATATATGCCATCCCCTTTTCGCCGGGTTTCATCTCCACTGTTGTCAGCTGTGCCATTAACCGACTCTTATTGACGCTGTCTGTTGCTTGATACAGATTCTTCAAATGGTTGTACGCGAGTTCGGCGGAGTTGACGTATCCTCGATAAGAACGGATGTTCTGCTGCTGGTTTGGAGTTAAGTTCCTCAGCAGGATCGTGTATGCCATCATTGACTGATATGTGTACTGCTGCTTGTCGTATTGCGTTCCGTGTGTTGGGTATGGCAGGGACCCGTCGAAGAATCCGAGAATCTGCGCGCCTTCCATCATCAGCTCAAACTCGAATGACCAAGTATAAAAATCCTTCCCGTCGAAAGGTGTTGATGTCTGAAGTTTCAAAACGTGTGCGAACTGTGATTGAACCTGAAGTGCATCCAGTGTTTTCTCCTGTCCAGGTTGAGATTGCTGGTGCGGCATGAAGCTGATCGAGCCACGTTGAGGCTCATACGGAGCGAAGGTGGGTTGCTGCTGGTTTCCGCGCGCATAGGATGAACCGTCGAGGCTCATGGGCGTAACGTCGTTGTTGTTGTTGCTGATGTTTGACTGCGCAGGTGCCGCTTGCTGATGTTGTTCGTAGAAGGACATGAAGGAGAAGAATTTCTCCATCATACTTGGGTCGAAGCCTGTCGCTTGGTTCACGGGAGTCTCAGTAGACTCAGCTGCTGGTCTTGTTGCTGTACCTCCCTCTGTTTGTAGGCCAGAGGCTGGAGGTGGAGTAGGAGTAGTGCCGGGAGAGCCATTAGAGGAGCTTCTCTCCTTCTGTGTTGCCATGCCTTCTAATGTTGTAGGAGTTTGAACGAATTGGAGTTTTGTCTTGTTAGCTCTCATACCATGTTGGGCTGAGAATAGCCCTTAGGATCTTTGCAAGGCTAAACTCAGAGTAGAAGTGTTTGTAGTTGCGGAAGCGTTTTAATGATAAGTATTGAACCACATTGCGTTAGTATGTGAGGGCAAGATAGATTGATTATAAGAAAGTAATACAAGCCTTTTATAAGATTACAAGGAATATGAAAGGGTGCAACTAATAACTGTTTTACTGTTGCTGTTGCGGTTCGATACAGTGACGACTCGGGCAACTGCTCAGTATCGAGTCAGTTGTTTGTCCTTGCTGTCGTGCTGTATTTGTCAAGTCAAAGGTCGCCGACCTTTGACCTTCGCGTAACCTCCAGCAGTTACTTTCTCTTATCAACCTCTGATGGTTGACTCGCCGTTGCTTCGTTGTAGTTTGCTTCGCTTGCAGTTCAGTGTTTCGACACATCAGAAGCGCTTAAGTCACTTGTTTCCAACAGTTGGTACGGTATGTTGGGCTGAGAAAAAGCCCTTAGGATCTTTGCAGGGCTAAACTCTGGGTAGGAATGTTGTAGTTGCGGAAGCGTTTTGATAAGAAGTATTGAACCACCTTGCGCTGGTATGTGAGGGCAAAGTAGATGGATTAAAACAAGGAGATACAAGGTTTTATAAGAGTACAAGGAATATGAAGAGATACAGCTAATAACTGTTTTACTTGTTGCTGTTGCGGTTCGATACAGTTACGACTCGGGCAACTGCTCTGTATCGAGTCAGTTGTTTGTCCTTGCTGTCGCACTGTATTGTTAAGTCAAAGGTCGCTGACCTTTGACCTTCGCGTAACCTCCAGCGGTTACTTCAGTCTTTAACCTTCGATGGTTGACTTGTCGATGCTTCGTTTGTGCTTCGCTTCGTTTACGACTTGATGTTTCGACACAGCAGAAGCGCTTAAATCACTTGTTTCCAACACGGTACTCTCGACAAGCAGCGCTAGTACCCACCGTAGTACGGTAGTCTCTTTCCTCATTGTTCTGTAGGAAGTAAGGGGTGTTTAATTTGTTTCACTTGCATGTCCTCTTCTGATTTGACCCAGCGCTTTCAAATGTACCATATCCCCCCACGGCAGATGTACATTTATTTTGGCAGGTTTTGTGAGGACCCCCCTTTTGCTATTAAAAAAACATTTGAAGACCCCCCTTTCTTGTATACAGTGTCTGTCTTTTGCTTGCGAGTCAATCTATAGGGGGTATGTTCTTGAATTTTGACGCGGTTTTTGTGTCAGACTCGAAATCTGACACGCGCATCGCGTCAGACCATCGATCTGACGCGTGGCACATGCGACTTCGCGTTCGTGGTGCTCCAAAGGGGGGGAGATTCGGTCGTGCAAAATAATCGTTCCCCCTGCATAAATTGAAAGGTACACCCTAAATCTAATAAAAACAATTACAAAATTATTGTACACGAGTCGTCAATAAAATCTGCGTTTTAATGATCACCCTACCATTTTTTGAAGAAAAAGTGTATCCCGGGTCCTATATCTGGGGGAATATGGTAGTAACGGTACCTTACCTATGGTATTAAGAGATGACTTGTTATGCTAGTGTATGGCTATATGCTACACACTGTGGTAAGCAACAACACAAAATCTAAAACCAAGTATCTATTTACAATTCAAGATAATATGCAGACAAATGTCTTGCATGAGTAGCAACTGTGGTGTCCCTACTCTAGCGTGGAAGTTGAATCACCATCAGCAAACCAAATGGAATGTGAAGGATGTTGCAAACCAAGTGTTATGATGTGAGTCACTGCTATATCTCAGCTCTGTTGCTGCCTCTCCTGCTCCTGTTGCTGCTGCCACCAGTACCACTTGTGGCCCTTACATTGCACTCGTTGCTCCAACCCCACTCCTGCCCTTTATGCTGTTACTGCTGCTGCTGCTGCTGCCGCTGTATTTGCTGTTTTTGCCGTTTTTGCTGTTGTTGCTATTGCTCCTGCTGCGGTTCATGCTGTTCTTGCTGCTGCTCTTGCTGCTGCTGCTGCTGCTGCTGGTGCGGCTGATGTTGTTGGTGGTGGTGACTGTGCAACTTGGCAGGGGGGGGGCAGCTGCAGCACCTGGCAACCACACAGCAGCAGCAGCACGTGGAGCAGTATCCTCCTCCCTTCCGCCACCAGTGGTGCCACACCCTCCTGCTCTTGCACTGCGTTGCCCTCTGCTCCCCCCTCTCCCCTTCCCGCTGCCCCCCCCGTTGCTCCCCCCTCCTCCCCTCTTGCTCTCCTTCTCTCCCCTGCTGCTCCTGCTGCTGCCTCTCTGCTTCTAAGAAGGCTTCTAACGCAGCTGACGTCTCTGCTGCGGCTTTAAACTCGCCGATGACCAACTTGAGTATACACAACACCGCAGCCAGTGCAGCCGAAATAAGCATTGCAAACACCAGCCTCCACCCCAGGTCCCCGGCTCCTTTCCCCCCACCCTCTCCACTACCAATCTCTGCCACTATCCCCGTTAGAAACGGACCCAAAGCAGCCCCTAACGACCCCGTGCCATCAATAATTGCAGTAACCGTCGCCAACCCTTTGGAATTCCCTCGGAGCGACGCGTGCTGCCCTAAATCAGCCGACACTGCACAGGTGATAAGCGCATACGGCCCATTCACAAAGAAACCGACTAGGGAGAGGAGCCCTATGTGCACAGAGAGCGAAATTCCGCCTAGGAGAGAGTAAAGGAGGAGGGCCGGAATGGCTAGGAGCATGAAGGAGGCAGAGACAGTGGCGTGAGCTCCTGTATGGTCGGAGAGATGGCCTGCTACTATCCCCCCCAGCACCCCCCCTAAGTCAAAGACTGTCGACGTCACGCCGGCAAACGCGTCGGTCAGATGATGCCCTGCTATTTCTGCTTTGGGGAGGTGGGGAGGAAGAAAGGAAGAGGAGAGAAAAGTGAGCAAGGGAGCAGGACATCTGTACGGTCGGAAAGCTGGCCTGCTACTATCCCCACCAGCACCACCCCCCCTCAAGTCAAAGACTGTCCATACGCCCGCGCACGCGTCGGTGCACAGTTACCAGTTTGGGTTCGGGCTTTTTTTTTTTTTTTTTTTTTTTGACGGTACAGTACAGTGCTTCTCGTTTGAGACTCTGTAAAATACCCTGTGCTGGCTTCCCGTAACAAGCACAGGCACTGTCTGCCAGTTGTCAGTAGTCGACTCACCTGTGCGCTTGATGTAGAACGGAAGCCAGTACAGGAACGTGTACGCCACAAGCTTAGCGAAGAACAAGCATAACGCGTACGCCGCAACGCCAGGGATTTGACACGCGTCCCAGAAGCTAATCGCCTCGTGCTCTTCGCCGCTCCCCCCCATCCCCGCTTTAAGCACATCCTCTGTTATCACAATCCGACCTTCCCCTCCCAGCCCCGCATCATCCTTCCCCTGTAAAAGCGGCACTGTAAGCTGCTCCGATACTGAAGCATAAGCAGCCTCCTTAGGAGCTAATAGGGAAGCATCGAAACCAGCCACTACGTCAGCAGCCACGTCAGCGCATTCGACAGCCTCGAACCCCGACTCTTCGTCCCCCTCCCCCTGCACGCTCCCACTCGCTTCACTCGACGTCTCCGACAGCAGCAGCGAATGCGGCGACTCCAGCCCTAGCGTTTCCGGCTCCGGCGCAAGAAACAGAAACATAACCAGCGCTCCCGCCATGATGCTAAACCCGGGGATGAGAAAGGCCCAGCCCCATCCGCTGGCCAGCGCGGAAGAAGCGATGAGCGATCCGAGAATGTTGCCGACAGAAGTGTGCGCGTTCCACACGCCGAGAATGAGCCCGCGGCCTTTCTTTCCGTACCAGCTCGCCATGATCGCGACAACGCTCGGCCAGCCCGTCGCCTGCAGGAACCCCGCGGCCATTTGCACCACGGCGAAGTAGTTTAACGAGTGTATATTCCAGAAATACCCCATGCCGAAGAGGGATACGAACAAGCCGCTACCGAACATCCCCACGGAGAGGAAAACCCGGAGGTCGATTCTGTCGCCGACATGACCAGCGATATACATGCCGATCGCGTAACATCCCAGGAACGCGATATCGAGTTCTCCGAGAAGAGATTTCCCGGATTTACCGTTGAAAGGAGCCCATCCGGCTTTTTTTTCTGCCCGCAGGAGGGCGTTATCTGGGTGGGTTTCCAGCCGCTGAAGATAAAACGTCCAAGGGTTGTTTGTAACGGAGTTGCCTGTATCGAGAGGGTCGAGCACGCCCTTGACAATGCTGGGAGGCTTTCGCGAGGCGTGGTATAACGCGTATGCGAAGAAGGTGAGAACCAGGACGAAAATCTGGTGCGTCGCGAAGGAAAACTCTTTTGGCCGGAAGCGACGAATGAGAGCCAGGCCCGGCGGCGCGGTGGAGCACGCGCGGGAAACCATCACGCCGCGATGAGCTGTTCTAAGCTTCACCTACGGTCCTAGTAGGCCTGTTGTTTGATGTTCACAAAATGATACGACCAAGGAGGAGCAGCGGCTAATGACCGAGCAGCGGCTAATGACCGAGCAGCGGCTAAGGAATACGATGCCTTGCTGGTGTTATTTACGCGTACAACTGCGACGATGCCTGAAATGAGAGGCAGCAGGGAGAACAAGCACACATTCCTCTTATGCGGCTGAAATGACAGCTCCCACCACAAGCAGAAATCAACTGGGACCACCAAGTGTTCTCTAGGCCTTGATTCCAAGCAGCCATGGATGATGGGATTTTCCATTTCTCCTCGTCATCTGAGAGACAACGCGGATAGGTTCGATGGTGTTCCTCGAGATTGGTTGCTGACCCTGGAACGGAGGAGCTACACGGGCAGAAGGACGGTTTCGAAGAGCTGACCGGATGAGTGTGCGCGCAATTGACTTCCCGAAAGCGGGAAGGAGGGTTCTGAAAGGAGTGTACACAAATTTCGAGGTAGTTTGGATGGGCAGGTTTGCCTGGAAGAAGACTGATCTGACCAGAAACTATCCGACGATGATCTTGGACGGACAGATGTCGTCCATTCTCAATGACTGCGGATTGGCTCTGGCCCCCACCGCGTCGCCCTGGTTCGTGCGCGCCATGGAGCTGATTGGTTGCCGGGAATATTCCCTTCAGTTGATTCCTTCGCGAGATTGGTCCGCGCGAACAAGTCAGCATGAAGTTCTCGGCAGTCTGCTTGCCTTGTCGCTGTCAAGAGCTACACAGCCTTGGAATTTGCCTGCCCATTTCAGACACGCTCCGACAAGACGGAGCTGGAGGTTTCCGGCAAGGTGACACGATTTCGTTTTAGTTTAGCATCCGAATTTGCGAAGATTTTGAAAGTACAGCCAGAAATACAACGCTTATCCTACTAAATTGCACACACTAATGAGACAATAAAGGAATGACGGGCATTACTTGAAGAATCCACCCTTGAAACCTGCACTTGTGCTTTCCATAATAACCTGCACTCCACCACCAAACCAGCAGGTGATACAAAGAACTTCGGAAAAATACCAAGGATTGATTGACACCAGCAAAAGAATGGTAAGGTTTCATATTTTACTATTTAGAGGACAGAGAACAGGACACAAGATGTGAAACAGGTCATCAAAGCAGATAGCAGTACAATCATGATGCATCACACTGCTACGGATATTGACGGCAATGACTGTGCACACACGGTAAAGCCCGTGAAACGGCATGGCAGCTGTAATGCATAATGGCACAGGCTACCATGTACCACGATGCATGATGCATGATGGACACAAAACAATGCCCTATGGAAGTTTTATATGCATGCTGCACGTACCATGGTGCCTATGGCCGTGCACCACCACCACAGGCTGGTTGCTCTAGTGGGAATAATACCCCCAAGGGGCGGCACCATAGCCATATGGGGCAGGAGGAGGAGGATACAGATTCCATAATGTTCCATGCACATACCAGAGTGCACATACCATGATGTACTACGCACGTACCATGATGCCTATGGCCGTGCACCACCACCACAGGATCGGTGCTCTAGTGTGAATAGTACCCCCAAGGGGCGGCATTATAGCCATACGGGGCAGGAGGAGGGGCGTAGGAAGCAGGAGGAGGAGGAGGATGGCCGTATGAGGGAGGAGGAGGGGCGTAAGGATACCCATAGGGGGGAGCTTGGGAAGGTGGGGGGTAACCGGGGTATCCGTAAGGGGGGTTTTGAGAAGAGGGGGGGTAGCCGTAAGGGGTGGGAGGGTAAGCACCCTGAGAGGGAGGGGGAGGATATGCGGATTGAGAGGGAGGGGGGGGGGGGAGGATAGGAGCCTTGAGAAGGGGGAGGAGGAAGATACGCGTGTTGAGAGGAAGACGGTGGAGGGGGATAGGCGGCTTGAGAGGAGGTAGAGGAAGGGGGGGGATATGGGTTTTGGGATGGAGGCTGGGGAGGAGGGTGGTGGACCCGTGGTGCTGCTGCTTGTGGCGCTGCTGGTGCTGCTGGTGGTGGTGCTGCTGCTGCTGAAGCACCACCAATTGCAAGACCACCCATGGCTGCCCCAACTGCTGCAACGGCTGCTGCATCCCCGCCTGCGCGTGCTCCACCACCCTCCCTTGTGTGTTCATATGAGCCCACGCCTGCTACAGGTGAGTGGTGTTGGGATACCTGTGTTGCTGTGGGCTGACGGGGGTTTTGAGACGTCTCAAAACTTGTGTGTTCATATGAGCCCACGCCTGCCCCAGGTGAGTGGTGTTGGGATACCTGTGTTGCTGTGGGCTGACGGGGGCAGCTGTAGGGGTGTGTGAGAGGAGGGGAGGGGGGTGGAGTTGCTGTGGGCTGAGGAGGGTAGTTGTACGGGTGAGTGGAAGGAGGGGAGGGCGGTGGGGAAGGGACTGGGGACTGAGGGGGAGACAGAGGAGGGGCAGATGGGGGACCACTGGAGTGTACTCTTGGGTAGTCTCTACTGCCGGGGTAGGTAGAAGAAGCAGCAGCAGAAGGAGGAGGAGCAGCACCACCACCACCAGGGTAGTTGCCATAATTACCACCACCACCACCACCAGCAGGACCATTACCAGAAGCAACACCAGGCCCAGCACTACCAGCACCAGCACTACCAGCACCAAGAGGAGAAGGAGCAAGAGGAGAAGGTGGGTAGAGGTGACTTGGGGCGGAGCCCTGGTTGCCAAAGGAGAAAGCCGGGTCTGAGGAAGAGTATTGGCTGTGGAATGAAGAGGATGGGGAATCTGATGAGGAAGAAGGGTGGGATGAGAGAGAGGAAGGGATGGATGAGAGGGTGGAAGATTGGTTGTGGAATGAGGGGGAAGAGGGTGGCTGAGAACGTGGGCTGTGTGGCAGAGGGGGGTAAGGGGATGGGTACAGATGGGTCTGGTCAGGTGGTCGATTTGCCTCAGAATTTGGTTGCGGTGGAGGGGGATAGAGGGGTGGGTTTGGCTGGGGTTGAGGAGGGGAAGAGTAGAGTGAGTGAGGGGGAGGAAAGGCGGGGGGTTGAGAGGGCTGCTGCCGTGGTGATGAGGTGTAGTGGTCAGGAAGGGGAACCGGTGCTCTTGCTGCTCCTGCTCCTGCTCCTGCTGCTGCTCCTGCTGCTGCTCCTGCTGCGGCTCCTGCTGCTGCTCCTGCTGCTCCTGCTGCTGCTGGTCCTGCTGCTGGTGCTGCCGTTGGGGAATGCATGGTAGAAGCAGGCGCGGGTGCATTCTGCTGGGACTGGACCAACGAGGAAAAAAAAAGGGAAAATAAAAGAAAAGAAAACACACACACAAGAATAATGATAAAGATAAGTATTCATTGAGTAACGAGTCGCCTGGGAAAATGACATGTAGAGTGGAACGAAAACAAATGTAATTAACATGTGAGGGAACATGAGAACAGGTACGCCTTACCGGGATATACTTGAGAACGAGACGAATATGACCCTTTTGCCTGCAAAGGAACGCCAGGAGCAGAACAGGGAGAGCAGAGAGAATGAATTTATGGAATATTCGAGTCAGTACTTGAGAACGAGACCACGGAAACCTCTTTGCCTGCACAGGAATGCAAGGAGCAGCACAGGGAAAGGGGAGACGGGGGGAGTTTTAATGCACCTGAACAAGCCCTTTCGCCTGCATAAGGATGCCAGGAGCAGCAGAGGAAAAGAAAGAAGGACTAGAGTAAGTGCATACTTGAGTCTCGCCAGGCTGGAAAGATGTAAGGAAGGGAAGCTGGCAGAAGAAAACTTCAAGATGTCGCAAAAAAATATGGGCAAGTGGACAGAATTAAGTGTTTGAAAGGGGCTTCGAAACCAAAATGCACATGGAATGAACCAGAAATGCCGTACTTTTGTTTCTTAGTGAAGAGAGGGTGCCACATGTCCCACACTTGTGCTGTCAGTGCTGGCTGGAAGTTCACCCTGAAGGAGATTGAGCAGTCAGTTCAAGGAAGGAAAGTGAAGAAGGGGGGGGAGGGGCATAATGTGTTTATGAGGCGCCGCCGAACAAAGATCTCTGCTGTCAGTGCTGGCTAGAAGTTCACCCTGAAGGAGATTGAGCAGTCGGTGCACGGAATAAAAGAAGAAAGGGAGACACGAAATGAGCTAACGAAGGGCTGCGCGACAAAGAGCTCTGCTCTGCTGTCAGTGCTGGCTAGATGTCCACCCTGAACGAGATTGAGCAGTCGGTGCATGGAAGAAAAGAAGAAAGGGAGACGTGAAATGCGTTATTGCCGAACGGCAAAGAAAAATCTGCCGTCAGTGCTGGCTGGAAGTTCACCCTGAACGAAATTTAGGAGTCAGTGCAAGGAAGGAAGGAAACGGGGGATGCAAAATGCTTATTGAGGCGCCACATGGACAAACAATCCTGCTGCCAGTGCTGGTTGGATTGAAAGTTCACCCTGACAAACAAAAAATAGTCAGTGGAGGAGCTATGCAGGCAGTTCGAGCCGTAAAGAGCTGATAACCAGATTGGTGCAGAGGGCAATCGGAGTGGATTAGATGGCAATTGGAGTGGTTTAGATGGAAATTGGAGTGGTGCAGAGGGGGGGAGAGTCTTAGGGGATGATGTTGTATGCAGGTAATCGGATCCAAGGGTTGAGAGAACCAGTGGTATCTGATTCCACATAAAAGGCCACTAACGACATTTTGAGATGTGTCAATCAAGTCTTACCAACCCAAGAAGGCGGTTATTTAAATGATTCAAACAACACACTAAGGACTGGTTAAGGCGTCTCAAGAGTGAAGGCCGAAGACGCACCAATAATGGAACGAGTTTTGAAATGACTAAACAGACGAAATGATGGAGGGAGTACGTACGAGCAGTGGCCAACCAACTCGTCCCTGCGCCTGTTCTTGTCCCATACATGGCATTCCATGGTGCTGACACCGGCCCTCAGCTGCAGCCGATACTAATTTTGAGGCATTTGAGAAATCACGGCAGTGTGCTAAGCTGACTGACACCACGGGCTCTCGCTGCATGCTGCAGCTGAAACTGCTTCCAAGGGACCAAGATGCTGCAGGGTGTTTTTGAGAGTACTCAAAAACACTGACACCACGGGCTCTCGCTGCCTGCTGCAGCTGAAACGTCTCGTTCCACACGGGGGGGGGGGGGGGGGGGGGGTTGTCTGACGAGTTTTGCGTCGACTCGGAAACCAGCCAATCAGAGCAAAGCAGGGAGGGAGGAGGAACGTACGAGCAGTTGCCAATCAGAACGTCCCTGCGCTTGTTCTTGTCCCACACATGGCACTCCAAGGTGCTGGCACCGGCCTTCAGCTGCAGCTGAAACGTCTCGTTCCACAGGGGTGGTGTGGCCATCTGCAGGGACGAACGAGGGCAGGGGAGTAGGAGAAGGAAGAGAGAAACTGGGGGGGCTAGCGACTGCTGACACCGGCCTTCAGCTGCAGCTGAAACGTCTCATTCCACACAGGGGTGGTGTGGCCGTCTGTAGGGACGAACGAGGGCAGGAGAGACGGAGAAAGACGTGAGAACCTGGGGGGCTAGCGACTACTTGCGCCCCAGCTGTCCTCTGTTGCAGCTGACACGTCTCGTTCCACACAGGGGTGGTGTGGCCGTCTGCAGGGACGACTGAGGGCAGGGGAGAGGGAGAACGGCGCGAGAACCTGGGGGACAGTTGTACCTGCCTGCACCTCCGCTCTCAGATGCAGCTGACACGTCTCTCTCTCCACACACACAGGGTTCGTGCCTTGTGACCGTTTGTAGAAGCGAGGGAAAGGGAAATGGAGGAATGGATGAGTTATTGGGGGAAACAGTGACTGTCTGCTTGCACCTCTGCCCCCCCAGGTACAGCTGACCCGCTGCTCCACTCCACACAGGGGTGGTGGTTTTCAGACGTCTCAAAACCACCCTTCTTTCACGTGGCTATTCATTTCCTGGTTCGTGTAGATTTCTACTCGCGTGGAAATTGGCCCCAGGTGCAGCTGACACGCTGTACACACAGGGGTAGTGTGGCCGTCTGTAGTGACTTTTGAGTCGAGTCACCCCAGGTACAGCTGACACGCTGCTACACACAGGGGTGGTGTGGCCGTCTGTAGTGACTTTTGAGTCAAGTCACCCCAGGTACAGCTGACCCGCTGCTACACACAGGGGTGGTGTGGCCGTCTGAAGGAGGAACGAGGAAAAAGCAGATGGAGAAAGAAGAGAGAAAAACAGGGGGAGAGTGACTCCTTGCACCACAGCTGTCCTCTGTTGCACCTCTGCCCGCGGCTGCAGCTGACACGACTCGTTCCACACCGGGATGGTGTGGCCGTCTGAAGGAGCAACGAGGGAAGGGGGGATGGAGAAAGTAGAGAGAAAAACAGGGGGAGAGTGACTCCTTGCACCCGCGGCAGCAGCTGACACGACTCGTTCCACACCGGGATGGTGTGGCCGTCTGTAGGTTGCTTTGTGGCAAGCAACATAGGAAAGAGGAGGGGTCCTGCTTGCTTGCTTGCTTGCTTGCTGCACGCCTCGCCATGTCTCATATATGAAGCATCCCTGCAAGCAACCAACCTTGTTGTGTCTTGGTGCGCTGCTGCTGGTTACCATGCTTTTACTGATACACCCCTCCCCATGTCTTATATATTGAGCATCCCTGCAAGGAAGTTACCTTGGTGTGTCTTGGTGCGCTGCTGCTGGTTACCATGCTTTTACTGATACACCCCTTCCCATGTCTTATATATTGAGCATCCCTGCACGCGCTTACCTTGGTGTGTCTTGGTGCGCCGCTGCTGGTTACCATGCTTTTACTGATACACCCCTTTCCATGTCTTATACATTGAGCATCCCTGCACGCGCTTACCTTGGTGTGTCTTGGTGCGCCGCTGCTGGTTACCATACTGTAACACCACGTAAGGGTCCTGCTTGCACGCCGCACACTCTCTAAGTCCTATCATATCTATGAAGCATCCCTTCAGGCGACCTACCTTGGTGTGTCTTGGTGCGCTGCTGCTGGTCACCATGCTTTAACACCACGTAAGGGTCCTGCTTGCCGTACAACTCCACGTCTTCTAGATCCTTGCAGCCCACGACTGGTGTGGTGCCACGTGGCAAATCGGAGGGAAAATGGAGGGGAGGAGGGGAGGAAGGGGGGGGAGAGGGGGGGGGGGTTGGTTGGGTGGGGGTGTGTAGTGGGGGTGGGTGGGGGAGGGGGGGGGGGAGGAGGGGGGAGAGAGGGGGGGGGGGGAGGTTGGGGAGTAAGTATGTTTGCTTGTATGTTTCTTTTTGTGATGGGAGAAAAAAATATGTGTGCAGGACTAAACCTCCGCCTATTCCAAAACGAGAAAATAACGACTAACGAGCGACGAGTAGAGAGCGACGAGTCGAGAGCGACGTAGAGAGCGACGAGCGACGGTCAACGAGAACGAGATTGTAAATCTATTTCAGCGGCGCTCGGGATCATACGACTTCTTCACCTTCCGGGAAGTTCCGTGCGCCGTGACGTCTGACGTCTGACGACATTAGATAATCCCTCACGTCTGACGTCACATCCGTTATTCACTGCCTGTAACGACATTCGATATTTCGTCTGACCTACGCCGAAGCCTGAGGCGACGTTTCCGCTAGCTACGTTCGCGACATCCCGTGCTCCTTTTTGGCAAGGAATCAGATACCAATGATCGCATCCCTGAACTAAACTCTATATGCTGACCGACTAAGTTCTCACCCGTGACGTCGAGCCAGCCAGAAGCCATGACCACGATGGCTGAACCTTTCCCGTCGCCTTTTTTCCCTACCCTCTTCGCAAAATGATGTGTTCTGAGAAGTGAGACACGAGCGATGATCGAGAATTAGCAACGTAAGAAGTTACGGCGTTGAAGTCTAACGAAGGCATTCCTGCTTGTTACGGACAAGGCAATGGCTAAGAAACGCGGCGAGAGGGTCAAATGAGCGGCCCAAAATGAATGGTAACTAGTCACGGATTCCAGCCACACTGATCAGTGTTTGGCTCTGTTCGGGAGCAGCAAGAAAATGAGGATGATCAGTGTTGTTTGTGAGCTCTCTCAAAAACAGGGTTCTCACTGTACCACAATCGATAACGGTTCATTTCACCTCTTTAGACCGTTGCGGGCCCGACTGAACCCTTGTGAAATTAAGAATATGACTCGTACCAAGTTCACAAGAACTAAGAAGAACCAATCAGATTCATCCAATAGGAAAGGTGGAGACGGATTGGTCAAACCAATCAAGGTTGCTTGAATGGATATCTCGTCTCGACCTTTGTCAGTCTCCGTACAGTGACCTCTTGAAAACACGAATCAAAGATACGCTGTGTGACAAGACCACAAAAAACAACACGCCGAACACAATTTTATAAAATACTACACTAGACAAGCAAGTTGGCTGTAAACAACTTCCAGTTCTATTCTATCATCTTGGATTTTTCCTTCCTTGTGCTTTTCTTGCAAGCACTTTCCATGATGGATGCAGGAATGGAAATTCTTCTTGCTTCGATGTTCTTATGTCTGTGAGAGATGGTGTCCCTTCCCTTGTGTTCATTCATGTTCAGCCTTTCCCATGTGCTAGCAAGGAAGCATTTTCTGCAAAAAAAAAAGACTGCTGGGAGATTGTGCACTGCACGTTGACTGGAACTGACTGATGAGATCCAAGTTTGGTACGATACAATCTGAAGTTGCTATACCCCATTCGGATGTCCCGTGCGCTATAATTGATTCTGTTATAGCCGCCAAAAGCAGCTTCTTTGCCTTCACTATGAAGGCCAAGGCCAACGCAAGATATGCTGGAATCCGACTGCTGATGTAATCAAAGCTGATGATTGGTA